AAGTAGGTGTGCGCGCGCGTGAACGTGTCGAGCGATTTAATGGAACGAATCCGTCAAGAGCGTGTTATCTGAACTTTAACTCAATAACGCGATACAGCAATAATTGTTGTTGACACCTCGAACGTTTTATTTCGAGTACCTTCGCACGCACCCCTCTCGTAGTCGCAACGCAGCGCACTTGCTTTTATTTCTCTCTTATATCTCGGTATGACGTTGCATTGAGTGTATTCAGATTGCGACACAAGGCTACTGGTATCTCTCGAAACTTATTACGGTGCGGAAAGAAATATCGACGTTGTACCGTAAAATATATGTACGATGTACACGATACCACCATCGCTGCCGGATTTATTACCGACCGCGGAGTAATCCTCCGTTCAACGAAAGGAAGAAGCATTATCGAGTTTCAACTTTCGATCTCTCAATTTACATTCTCAACTCATCCCTCCGCGAGCTCTCTCTCTCTCTCTCTCTCTCTCTCTCTCATCGACCGCAGTGCCATTACAGTGCGATTACAGATCGACCGCGACACGCCCCGTTCACATCGCAACAACCGACGAAATCGCGCGACACCTTAGTCTGTGAATTCAGCCGATCCTCGTAAGGCGCCGATCCGCGCCGAGGCCGCGAATCGTCGTAAAGGGCAAAAATATATCCCGTTCAATTTTCCGCACGTGCTCCGCGTCATGTGCAGTCGCGCGGTTACATGAGTAATGCTGTAGCGTCGACGGCGGTAGTACAGCTCCGCGGTCGAATTAATTTATGGAACACTATTAGCCGAACAGGCTTGTGCACCGGCAAAACCGCGATGACCTCGGCAAAAATCTGCCCGTCGCCGCGAAACGCGGCGAAATTACCATTGGTACTCGGCTTTGCGGCTAATTGATGGTTAAGAGGCCCTCGTCCGGGACATCTGTATTTTGACGCAGCGACCATAGCTGCAGCGTCTATTCTAATCAGTCTAATATTGCAATGGCAGACTATATCACGCCCTTCATCCCCTGTAGCATCCCCTACAGCCCCCCGTGACAAAGGCCGGACGTTCGTCAGGAGGGAAAAGGGTGGAAAAAACATGCGGAGGAGGGGAAAAGAGTCGCGACGACGAGGTCGGCGGTGTCGGTCTGCTTGATAAAAGAAAGGAGAGGTGAAGGGACGAAACGAGCGGGCGACAGGCTGGCTTACACTCTCGCCGATTGTCCGACTTAATCGTCGCCAATCCAATATCGCGCGGTATACGATGAGATTCGCATCGTCGTCATCGTCGTCGTCGTCGTCGTCGTCGTCGTCCTCGGCCATATGTGGCCGAGGACGACGACGACCTTTGATGAAGAAATTTAATCCGACGGGGGCGTCCACGCACGGCGTCCTCGAGCGAGCGTAATCTCGTTTACGACGTATTACGATTGGATCGTTGTCCGATTGTGCTCGTCGAGGATAAACGACGCGAACCGGTCCGGTCTCTGCTCTCGGCAGTGCCGGCTGTCGGTGTGCTTCAATTAAAAGCGAGCGTCCTTCCGGAATTTCGATCATAGCTCGCTTATATAGAGTAGCGTTTATCGAGAAGTCCGGGGAATTCGGTTCGTCGGAGCTATTGTTACGGCAACGGTGCATTGTGCGACACGAGGGAAACGCGGGATTGTGTAATGCTCTCCGAGTCGGATGTCTTTTTCCCTCTTCTCTCCTCGCAAGCTGCTATAATCCGGCCGGCCGTTTTGCAGGGGGCTTTCTTTTGTACACGGTGTACTGAATGTATAAGGCGAAATCGCGCGTTTCATCTCCCATCCCGCGTCATCGCGAAACACGCGATTACCCGCGGCGGCGGCGGCGGCGGCGGAAGGACGGGACAGAGTAAACCAAAGTTGGAAATTGTAAATAGCCCGACCGTGAAACAGACGGAAAAGAGATCCCGAAAAAATCCTGTTCGCGGAAATGTCGGGCTGATTTTGCCGGATGGGTATTTTTTGCCGTGGGCGTTCGACTTCAACGGCTCCGAGAGAGAGAGAGAGAGAGAGAGAGAGAGAGAGAGAGAGAGAGAGAGAGAGAGCCGTTGAGTTGGAGGTTGAAAAGCATTCGCCGGCAATCTCGTGACAATGCAACCGGCATTTCCGATTCCGCGCGGAAGCCTCCACCGTACGAAATCGCGGCGCGTATCGCCGTTTAACTATGCAGCTTCGGAGAATTGAGAGAAAGAATGCTCCTCCTCCTCCTCCACGGCACTTCTCTCACCCTTCCCTGTCCAACCCGCACCTCGTGGCCCCATCATCATCCATAGTGGTAAAGTACTACTCGTACAAAAAGCACTTCCGCGGTATTCCACGCGACCCTCGTTACTACGCTGACTCGTCGGCTCGAAGCTCCTCTGAAATCCGGCGGAAATTAGGATGCATGAGTGCCAGCCTCCCTCGCGTCGGTACTTGGTGAACTAATTATACCGCCAAAATACTCTCGCGGATCCGAAGCGCGGATCGAGCGTCCTTCGGGGCGGGGCGGGTTTTCGCGGTAGGGCTAAATTTATTTGCCGCTCGCGCGTCGAGATATCGAGGACCCATCTGAAGGGAAACTCGGGAAAGAAGTTTATCCACATTGTTTCAAGTTGGTTATTTATGCTGCCCACAGGGGAGCCCTTCGATCGAGCCTTGCATATCTCTCTCTCTCTCTCTCCTCTTTTTCGACACGATCGCAAGCGAGGTTGGCCGAATTTTCCACGTAAAATCGTCCGCACTTTCGAGGCGTTGATCATTTCTATGGACTTTTGTCCAAGCGAGAGACCTCGAGCTTTCTTTCCCGATATCTAACGAGGCCTTTTTATCGACTTCTTAATACTCAAACTAGGAAACTTTCTGGCAAGCGAGAACTGCGGAAAAGAACGACGCGGCGGATCTTTCGCGCCCCGACCCAACGGAAAAATTTTAACCGCGCTCTTCTCCTCCCTCTCCCGCTCCCGCCCTCAAAAACCGAATCACGAACGTCCCACTTTCGTCACAATAGGTGGCTGGCCGCCACCTGAACGGACTTCGCGCGACGGGCGTTGATATAAAAATTTATATATTTAGGGATTAGAACGACCTTAATTACGACGCTCTCGACGGGCCGATGCTTTCACGTTTAACCCGCGCGTCAGCGTCACACAGGCACGGCTTTGTGCGATCAAAATACGATCTCCTCCAGAAGGAGGATTATCCCTCAGTCCGATGCACGAGCGATGACACGGCCGACGATCCACCGATAGATCTCCTCTGTGCAAAGGAACGTCGCAAAGGTGAGAACGGACGTGACAAGAAGGGACGAGGAGGGGAGTAAGGATCGGCGAGTACATCCACCCTCTGCCAGGGCTGCGACTGACGTTGATGGCGGCCTTGAAGAGCCTAAACGCTCAGCTAATCACGTAATGGCGCGTAACGACGCGAACGAAACAACGCGGACGTATCCCGCGAGCCGCGGGGAAACCGCCGTATAGTCGGCCGTGGTTACACACACACACACATACACACACGGAAGCCGACGACGGGGTCGTTCTTCTCGATATACTAATGGCACCTTCGGGAAGGGAATTGCTTGCCGCCAGCGCGGGAATGTCGCGCGCGCCTCGCCCGAGTAATGATGCGTCACGACTACACATCACCGAAATTCCATCCGCGCGCGATACACCCAACGGGTGTTCTCGTCGACTTCCCTTAATCACGGCCACGCGCTACGTGGTCGTGATTAAGGGCAGATTCGCGCAAGAATTGCCTGCATAAGCTTGAAACGTTAAACCTTCACGGCGTTAAATCCCCACGGTTTTGCTCCCATCGCCCGGCGCGCTGCACTCCGCCCGGTGAGTGTAAATCAGCGCAATTTAGCTGCCAAACTATCACTCACTCATTTCTCGTCTCTCCCTCCCTCTCTCTTTCTCTCTGTGAATTTGGAAGACGGCAGATCATAATTGCTGCTTACGGACTTTGAACGGCTGAAACTTTCGAGGGAACTTCGCGCGTCAAGTGTATTCGCGTATTACGCGCGATCGATTATACGGGTCACACACGTAGTTCGTGGTTATTTTGAGTTCGATTTTTAACGGGCTCCATCGCGGTCCTGCATACTTCAAGTTTCACTTCACAGAGTTTCGTGAAGTTGTAGTAATTACACACGTTCCTAACAAATGGGACGTTTAATTTTGCTCCTCCCGAGTGTTACCTCGGTGTTACGTAAATTCGCCGTTGATATTGTGACATAATTTCAACTGCGTTTCAACATCGTACTGTATGTCTGTTTTTTATTCAGCTCGTCAGGTAACTCCTGCGGAACATTAATTAGCCGGTGAACGTCAGGTTATTTAATTTCAATATCGTTTATCGGGGTAGTTATCTTAATTGGCCCAAAGGATTGGTGGGACTAGGAACTCTCGATCTATCATTCACGTATCATTCGCGCCTATCGCATCCCATATTTCTCGTATGGAGACTCAATAATTAAACTAATGACCGCGTGCTACGTAATTCAATGCTCGTGATAATGTATGAAATTAGCGAAAAATACAAGGTACCTTAATAACGATCAAGTTTAATCTTAGCGTTCGTGAAACCTGTGAAAAATTTCTTCCGCAACTCAATATGCGATAAATTTCGAGAATTGCAAGCAACGTGGATATACCTCTGATTATCTTCGAAGGGTCGTGTATTCTCAGCATTCTCGTTGGTCTGCACGCCACGAGAAAAGTGTTCAGACCGAGACAAGATTCAGAAGATTCGGAATGTACATCCCCAGTGTAGTGTTCATCGTATTTAATTTCGGATCGACTCGCTCAAAGAAAGACTGCACGATTCGATCGAGAGAGAAGAAACATCGCGACAAATGACTGAAAACCGCAGCACTCTCTCGGTCGACTCGTGCAACATCGTGTGCTGCACAGCGCGGTGCAAGATCATCGACCAGCCGGTGTCTTATACGGCAGCACGCGACAGCACGTTTCCCTACAGTGGACCGTTCCGGTCGCGCCAGCAACTGCGACGACCACATACCTTATGAACATGTATATGCCCGTGGGCTCCAACGCCCTGGCGACCGCTTTCCAGCTGGCGATAACCGTAAATTTTTGCCGAGCCGTGAGCGGAAGTCGAGGATCCGTGGCGGCCGGCGGCGGCGGTGGCGACGAGCCATCGTTTCCGGCTTGATTGCGCGATTTCGAGGTGGCCAGTTTGCTCAGTTCGCAACCCATGTTGCGCGGCGAGAGACCCGCGGCCGCGAGGCTCCCTGCGTCGCGGAAGACACTATACCGGAAGCGAGCCGCGACGGCGAAACGGGATCACCAGCTCGCGCCTCGAAAGCCGAAGATTACGCGGCACCGCGGTGGCGGTGCTTGGCATACAATTCCACTGTCGCTTCCGTTTCCTGCCGTTTCCTCGGGAAATTCACGGCGCGCATCGGCCGCCGGAGAAACGCGGGATCGCACTCTCTACACTCTACGGGGACAATGTGTCGGTGTGTATGTGCGCGTATACATAATACATACGTCTATGTGTGTGAGCGTGTAGAGTGTACACGAGAGTTCGCTGGGGGGGGGGGGGGTAGATGAAACGACGACGAAGACTGAACTGGAGTTCTTTCAAAATCGGCAGTAGTGAGACTTCTTGGACGAACACGCTTTCTCAAATCCCTTCTCTCTCTCTCTCTGGTGTTTCGTTTCTTCCGCTCTATTTTCTTCTCTCTCCAGGAGAGAATGATCCTTGAACACAATGCACGTGGTCAAACTCGAGGAATTCGCGCGTATCTATCTTCGCTACGGAGTTCGTCGCGCCGAACGTTTGTGTCGAACGAGACGGCGGGCGCGGTTGTCTCGACGCGATCACTAATGGGGGATGATATCGGCTCGCACCTTTCAACACACACACTCACACATAACACACGCCGGCCGTTGGCGCCAGGCGCGCCGGCGCGCCGCGCGCGCGCGCGCGATCACACGATCTCTACGAAGCACGTGCGCTCTAGAACAGCAGGCTGGCTGGCCGGCCGACCGTTTCGAAGCTAGTCACCCGTGAACGATCGTCCGCCATCGTTAGCACGAAGCCGATAAGCAAAAGTGAACCTCCTCGGCCGCTTCCCGCCCGCTTCTCGCACAGATTCGATCGTGTGGCCGGCGCAACCTTCGCATGCCCTCGTCCTCGCTCAGCCCTCCTTGCGAATTAAAAGGACCCAAGCGGTATCGAGACTACGCTTAATCCATCTCCTCGCATCTTCCGCTATTCATCTCCCGCTTCGCGACTCGCCCCTCCTCGCGCTTTCCCATTCCATTTAAGCCTCGCGCAGCTTCGTCGCTCTTTCCTGCGGTTTTCGCGCCGAGCTTGCCGAGCTCCGCGGGTTCATCTATCTAACTTCCTCCTACGTTCATTTATCCTTTAACGTCGATCTCATCGCCGCCGAATCTTCCTTTCTCGCCGGCGTTTCCACACGTCGCCGCTTCCGCCACTTGGAAATTTTCCACCATCGCGTGTAATTGCTCCGCCTTTATCGCCTGTCTCTTCTGTATTGATGTGTGTGTGCGTCTGTGTGTGTGTGTGTGTGTGTGTGTGTGTATGTATTAGTTCGCTTTTCTTATTTCCTCCAAGGATACCTCTGTAATTGCCTTCCTGGCAATATCGTCCATTTTCTTTACCCAACAAGCTCTTCTCTACCCGTTCTTTTGCACGGATCTTTGTTTCCAACGTGCAGGCTACCCCCCCCTATTCTCGAGCCTCCCTCGTACCTATCAGCTTCCTATTGTTCAATCTTCTTTGCTCTTCGCCGTAGGTTGATCGGCTTTCTATCGCACATTTCATTTAGTCGCGTTGCCTTTCTCTCTCTCTCTCTCTCTCTCTCTCTCTCTCTCTCTTTTTCTTTCTCACTCTTCTCCACTTGCCTCGTCTTTTTTAACAAGACGCGTACGTATTCATTAAACGCGCGACTTAAGTCCTTCCATTGTTTCGCGATAACAGATCCATTTTCAGTCCTCGCCCGATGTCCTTGTCAGATTCGCGCTAAAGCATGGCAGAATTTTACACTACGACTCTCGCGCGACACCCGCTCTCTCTCTCTCTCGTTCATCGTCGTTCGCCGTCCGATCTCTTTGGGATTCGCGTGCAATTTGCTTGCGCATCAGCGCGGTGAACGCGCTGAAACAGTCGATACTCTGAGACACGAAATGCAAACAACCAACGATATGTTTCTCTAACGATACATTTTTTATCGAGACGATCGACCGGGCTGACCCGCGACGGAAAATACCGCGAGACATCCGCGAGTGACAGATCGAGAGCAAGTCGAAGACGCCTGGGATGTCGTTGGACCGGCATCATGAGGCGGCTCATGAGGTGATACAAACGAAGCTCTCAGACCGCCATTACCGCTGATACGGGCGAACACGCTAAGCACGAAGATTGTAATTTCCCGTCCTACTGCGGTCCTTCGCATCTCAGCATCTCAGCATCTCAGCGACGAGCGTGATAGCTTTTCCTTCTCGTGTTCATTCATTATTCACCGTTTCGGCCAGGCACAGCGAGGCGAAGTTACCTAGCGGCGCGGAGCAACATTGCATTTGCAAAGAAGAGAACTTCGGATATATCGAGTGCATTTAGCACGCTAAGACGCGAACTCTATGTCGGTGCGGAGTTTCATTATCGGACATCTCCTATTCGGACTTTCTCCTCCCTCGATCGCACTTTCCCGCGCGATAAATCGGTCGATTTCTTATTATCCCGACGTCGTCGGTTCGGTCGTCGGCGTTCCCAAAAGTTCCCCAAAGTTTCGCCGTTAGCGTAACACAACAGGGCGACCGACTAACGTGCCGCTTCAATTTGTGCAATGACGGCATCAAATCGTATCAGTTTCGCGGAACGGAACGTGGCGGCGAAATCCCGACCGACAAATCTCCCCGGAGCTCGACGCGACGGAGCGTCGTCGTGCGGAAGAAACGAAAGAATCGAATGCGGTGAAGCGGAATTCCAGCGACGTTGATGGAGGGCTCTTTCCGAAGATCTGGAACACCGGCGGACCGGACGCCGTCTCGTCTCTCGTTCGACCGACGCCTCTTCGAATTCGCGGCCGAGTGTGGCGAGAAACGTGCGCGGGGCGCGATTGATGACCGAAACAGGTGACGCGCGAGCTGGCGCGACGCGGGCGAGCGAAAGCGTCGTTAAGTAGATGAGAGCGTTATAAGGCAGCCGCGGGGCGCGGAAGGGGTGGCGGAGAATCCACCCCCGGCCCCGTTGTGTCCCATCGGAGCCGTACAACGCTAACTTTACGTTCCGAGTTGTCGCTCTGTCGGGGAAACGCGCGGAGCGCGACGTTGATAAGCGTCGCCGGGGTGAAGTCAGGCGGAAGTACGTATAAGAAAGCGCGACGGTGGCGGCATATAACGCGGATAACTTAGATGGCTTTGCAAGTTTTCGATGCAAAAAAGTGCAAGCGCGCTTCGCCGAGGCGAAAGTCGCGCGACAGACCGTCGCAGGGGAGCGCAGGGATATCAGCGTCAGAGACTTTTCTAGCGGGTGCTTCGAAAAAAAATATCTCGCACAGATGACAGAATGATCTTCGGGAAAAATGCTTCTTCGCGAACGACCTCGGTAGTCTGAGTGAGAGATTGTGTCGACCCTCGCGGTACCTCGCGCGCGAATTTCCCTAAGACGACGTATGGCTTTCGGCTACAGAAATTCAGAGGAAACCAAGGATTTGTGCCTGCGCGCATGATTGCGCCCCGAGAAGCTCGAAATTTCCGGCTCATTTGCCACCGATTCAACCTATTTTCGGATCAATTTGCGTAATTTATACGAAACGAGCCACGGCCACGGCCGGGCCTTCCGTACATCGCGATTATTACCGGGCGTATGCGCCCGTATTTGTTTCAAGTGGAATCACCTGCGATACACATTGAAAGGGCACCCCCTCTCCCTCCCCCGCGACGTACGCGCCAATTTCGTAAATGGTGTATCGTCCGACTGACGGCGATGCGAGAGAGAAGCAGCGGTCGATCCCGGCAGCCTTGAACGCATTTATAGCCGAATCGAAAGGAGAACAAACAAACGCGCCACTGGCGGAAAGTAAACAGCTTACGAGGCGAAAATCCACTTCGCCCGTAAACCGCGAAATTCTGGTCGCGCGCGCGCTTCGCGACGTCAACGTGCACGAGCTCAACGACAACGATGCGACTCAAACGGCACGCTGTCATGTATCACTTAACTCGCGTCTCCGTCAATTTTTGTCCGCGGAACGAAGTTACCTACCTACTACACGACATTCGAGTCTATCGAGGATCAGCGAGTGTTGCTGCTGCGACGCTCGCGGGAGGAGTGCTTAGCCGATGCGTGGTGAAGCAGCGGGCCTCACCGCTATTCTAATTCGCCTAATCTAATCGCGAGCTCATCGCGATTAACTGTGCGAGTATCGAGCGGCGGATCGAGCGCGGTCCTCCCCGTCGTCTCGAATCGATTTGCGCGCGCGTCTCCTCTACGTTTTTTCCGGGTCGTCCGCATTCACGTCGCTTGCGGCCCACTCTTGCCGCCGTTGTCGTCGTCGTCGTCGTCGTCGTCGTCGTCGTCGTCGTCGTTGTCGTCGTCGTCGCCGTCGCCGTCGTCGCCGTCGCCGTCGTCGCCGTCGTCGTCGCCGTCGTCGCTGTCGTCGCCGTTGTTGCCGTCGTAGTCGCCGTCGTCGCCGCGGTCGAAACGCGAGGTCCTCGTTGCGACCTCGCGTCCTTCTTCACGGCAGCCGCGCGTCCTCGATCGTCGTCTTCGATCGGCCGTCGCGATTTCACCGCATCACGCGCGACTCCTCGTCGTTCGGCGGAAAACAAGCCGCGGAATCACCACGTCGTCGTTGCCGTCGTCGTCGTCGTCGTCGATGTCGACGTCTCGCAGTCGCGCGGCGCGAAGCGCACCGCCGACGCGAATTTTCTATCTTTAGAACGTCTCCCGGGGCTCTTCGGCCAGATACTTGACGCGGTGCTTCGGCGTCGGCCGTGTTGCCTACAGCCCAGGCGAGCCGAGACTGAGACGTCCATAACAAGCACCCCCGAGGATGCCGCGCACGCGCGTCCGTGTCCCGCGCTCCGACGTGCGCTCTTCTTCCGCGGTCTCTCCTCACCGAGAGAGAGAGAGAGAGAGAGAGAGAGAGAGAGAGAGAGACTCTTTTTCCTCTCCTCTCATGAGCAATTAATTGACCACTTTCCATTTTCTTTTTCCGCGAACGCGACGCCGCGATACTTTGATCGTTCTCTATCTGCATTCACGTGTAAGGATTCGTCAGATAACGAGATGACCCTTTTGCGCAAAGCTGAGCTAATGGTCGAGATAATTGGGGGATGATTTCGAGGAATGTCTACTTCATTTGCTTATTAACATTTATAGTTTGGATTCAATAATAGTTGGTTCGATAATATTACGGTTATGATTGAGATACGATTACATACGCGTTGTACTCTCAACGATATGCCTGATATAAAAAAAATATCGATCCTCAGTGAGCATATTTATAAACGCGGCGTTTTAAATCTTTATCGCCGATATTTGTTCCGATTTATGGTGCATTGTTCAAAACAGTGACTGTCCAATGCGTTTTACATGACATTGGACGTCGCAGAGTAGCGTCTATATAATATCGCCCGACATTAATTCCTTTTCTCGCACAAACAAAGCGCTTTAATTTTCCCGATCGTCGGGCACTCGCTTCGATATGCGATATTGTTTAAAACGACGCCTGGCCAGTGTGCTTCGCACGACACTGAGCGTCGGAGTATAGCATCTGCCGTGAGACACTGCTTGCTTTTGCTTCGTCGAAGATCAATGCGATTTACAACTAGGCATGTATTACGTAATGTGACGCTTTCGAGCGTTCAAAATGCACACTCACCACTGCGCGTCGATGTTCAACGGCGTCCAAGCTGTTCAAGTCCGCATCCGGTCAGCTTCCTCGGCATCTAGTCTCCGCAGCGTTCAGCTGTAATCCCACGTCGATTGCACTTCATTCATTGCACTCGCGAACGCGATATTTTACGGCGTTTGACGGCTTAACGAGAAGTACGCGATAAATTACGGCGCTTCGAAAATGTACTTGCGTGAATCGTATGTAAAGCAGGCGCGAAACGAAGATCGCGGCGTTTTCGACAAAGTCGAGGGGAGGGTAAAAATATTGCTCTTCGCAGACAATTACGCGAACAACAGCAAATGAACTTCTCGTCACGCGAAATTTGTAATCTTCGAAAGAAAAAAAAAAAAAAAAAACAGCGAATACGTGTACCGCTCGAACGTATCGAGCGGCTTTGATTACAAACGAAAACGGTTTAAATTTAATACCGCTCGGCTTGAATTTAGTTTTGATTGAAACGACCTTATAACCTTACAGTCATATATGCAAAATTTAGAAATTTCATGATTGTAACGATAGCGACATTTATAACGAGCGAAATTAATAATCGGGAATTTCGCGTTCGGTGGCGCAATTCTGGTGCCTATTTTATAGTGCTTGAAACAATTAGAGGACCGCTGAATAAATCGTTTTCATCGAATATAGATTCTAGATCTTGGACGAGATGTAATAAATATACAAATATTTACAGAAAAAGCTTACTGAATATTAAGAGATCTAAAAGAAATATTGGTGGCGGATATCTTCTAGAAAGAAGAATATTCGCAACAGAGTTCACGTAATATCTATTAAATAATAGAGATATTTGAAAGAGAATAGTCCTCCGATTGTCTCAAACAGAGTATTTTGATGGCACAAGCACATGTATGCAAAAATCTATATACTACACTGGGAGAAAAAATGGCCGATCTCTTTAAAATTGTTCGCCATCAATCACGTCTTTTTCGTTAATCTAACAAAAAGGATGATAATAATAATTTACATATAAGATGATCATTAACGCTATAGTAGCGCTGACTAAAACTAAAATTTTGACTACAATTGCTCCAATTGTATATGCAATTGTTCTGATTAAATCAGAGAATAAAGGCTTTTCTCTCGGTGCAGGTAAATCGCATTGATTTTGTTGAGATTTTGTAAATAGTCATCATCGAAAAACCCACCACCTATCCCATTTGTCCGACTTACCGAAACATCAGGAACTCAGGGTCGGCCACGTTCCGCTACAAATCTGAAACAAAACAATATAATTTCGCTGGTCAGATAGGAAATTTAGCAACTTGATGAGAAAAAACGCGCATAAACACGAGCGTGTTGCTACTTTGCGATTGCAACAACTCCAAGATTTATGTCCCGGAAACTACGTTCTAATTTTTGATCGTAAACAGTTTGATGCGACAGTACGGGGTGTCTCTAAACCTACCTTCGAGCCGATCCTGCTTGGCCCGAACCGGATCCTCCGGTACGGCACGTCTGCGTCTATCGAAACATCCCCAGGAATCGTACCCCCATCGTATGCCTGCAAGCCTCAGCAAATCTAAAACAAAACATGAATTTCCCGCTATAATTATAATATTAATTATAATATAATATATCGGTACATGATGAATATAATATATCAACATGTGTATGTGTGTTGTGTGTTGAAATAATTATAACATATCAGTAGGTGTATAAGCACTGAGAATATTGAGAGGGAGGATATTTCTCTCCTAAACTAATCAAAATGCAAGGTGGTAGTTACCCTTAAGATTACAGAGTACTGCTACACCAGATAATCGTAGCACTATGAATGCACACGCGATGTAACAACGCAGCACGTCTCGCTCTAATCGAACCGGAAAAATCGGGAGTCACGCGCGACGTCTCCCGATCCAATTATTTTCACGTCAAGGACTGTTATGGTCGCTAGCTCTCGTCGCGTATCCTTATATATATCAAAGTCACGTGACTTTCTACCGGTTAGACGAGCTTGAGAGCGCATCTTATTTATCAGTTTACTTGACACTTTCCGTGCGCCTTAATATTAGTATTATACATTATTTTATTATTTATACCTCCCCCCCCTTGACATTTTCAACCTGTCAAAATGCATAGTTTTGGCGACAACGAGTTCGCGGTGTCAAGAGTTAATTAAAAATAACGGTTATTTATATCAATCCGATTGCAGAAAAAAGATAACGATAAATATACATGCCCTTTTTCTCAGATATGAAAAAACTTAAAAGTCGCTACAATTATGTGTGTATACAGAATATGTTGTAGAAATCTCAATTCCTGTAAATTATAACGCGTACATTCCTCTGCAAACAATGTAATTTTCACCACGTGTCCTTGATCTTCTCTAAAAGGAATACGCGTATATATGTATCGTGTCATTATGTGAGGAATACAATACGCTGAATACTCCTACTACAAAACATTCGAAAACGACGGGAGCTAATCTCCTTTTAAGAACGATAATCACAACCGTGTAACAAATATCACAACCGCGGAGCACAAACGCGCATAAATGTTACCGTTTTTAAATATCCGTCCCGGTTTTAACAACAATTCTCCCATATCCGATGCTCTCTCTCTCTCTCTCTCTCTCTAAGCCGGCTACAGCTACCACCTAATATTCGTGTATTTTCGCGATATTCCATAAGTTTAAGTTTAATCCAAACTGTCGCATCTACATACAATATTCATCTCATCTATATACACGAATATCGATTAGTTTGCACGGTGGTGGTATCGCTATCACTTACACATGTGTACGTTCACGATAAATTTCTATAGGTGTGTCGTGCGCGCAAGAAGACAAGAGAGGAGAAAAGTAGAGAGAGAGAGAGAGAGAGAGAGAGAGAGAGAGAGAGAGAGAGCGGCTCGTGCGAGCATTAAATGCATTAACGCAACCGTTACATTTTGATCCTACTAGTTCGGGATTATCTACGCTTCGTGAACTTACTTTATAGGTGATAGGATTGTCATGAAAGTTGCCGCAAGT